TGTCTGTATTAAATTGTATTCTATCACTTTATATCATAATTATCTATTTGCATGTCAGTCTCTCCCTAACTTTAAAAATGAAGTGCATGGGACTAGCGCATAGTATGGCGGTTAAGGCAGCTGGATATCACATGACAAACTGCATAGTTTGAGTCTTGGACCAAGCAGCTTGAGAAACATGCTGGGCACGTGTGCATGCATGCCCAAAGTCCTAAAAGGAAGCAGGAGAAGAATTTGCGGTATGACCATTTCCCATGAGGGGTGCTTTCTCCCTCTCCCTCTCTCCGTCTCCCTCTTAGTCTCTCTCCCCTGTGAGCACTTGCACCCTCTGGCATACTTTAAAAAAAACTGAAGGGTATGAACTGTACCTTACTATTTAGGGCTTAAATAAATGCCTCAGTAAATACTTGAGCAGTAAGTTAATTGTAAAAAGTCAGGATTGGTTATTTCTAGAACAGAAGAACCTGTAGAAACAGATCTCTCTGGGAAACAGGCAAGGTTAGAATTGTCACACATATAGAATAGACTGATGCAAAGGTAAATCAAAAGGGCAAATAGATTTTACAGATGAAAAAGAAAGAGAATAGTAGGGTAAAATACTTGTGATAAGGGACTCTCTGAATGCTTAAGTGTATGTGTTTTATATAATATATATAATTAACATATATAAATATTATATTATAATATATTATAATGTTTATATATATTAGATATTATGTTGTAAATAAAAAGCAGAACCTTATCAGGAATAGAGGAATTACAGATTTAGGGGAGTACAAAGCAGTGAATTTAATTGTTGATATCTGTTGTGTCTTTTATTTCTATTTAAGTAGATATCAAATAAGTTAAGTGACATATTAACATTCAGAAACTCTCTTAAGAGATAAACATCGAGGGCCGGCAGGTGATGTGGTGGTTAAGGGTGCTGGACTCCCACATGACCGACCACAGTTCGAGTTCCAGACCTGGTGGTTTGCTTTCTCGCTTTCTCACTCTCTCACTCTGTTTTTCTCTGGTTAAATTAAAATAAATAAAGTTAAATTAAAAATAATTCTTTGAAAGAAAAAAAGAGATAAATTTCTAAAATAAGCCTAGGAATGGTTGAAAGGTTCATTACCATGAACGTTTATAAAGATACAGATAAAATTGTTAACAAATAAAATAGACAGATGTATGTATAGATCTAGCTCTGTTTAAAAGAATATTATACTGGACCAGCTAGGCACGATGATTAAGGTGGCAGGATCCCACAGAATGGATTGCACAGCTCAAGCCCCAGACCTGGCAACTTAAGGAACACGCTGTGTATGTGTGCATGCATGCCCAAAAGTCCCAAGAGGAGAATGAAGGAGAGAGCATGTGACATACCACCCCCCGCTAGAGGAGAAGAGGGGATTTTTCATCTTCTCTCTCTTGCTCTCTGGTGCGTTCACATGCCATATAGCAAAAAAAAAAAAAAAAAAAAAGTTTTTAAAGAAAAAAAAATTTTAAATGGACATATTATATATGTATATCATATACATTGTACATATAAAAAATCAACTGTAGTCAATTTATTTTGCTTTTAATTCAGTTGCTTGGCATTACATAAATGGCCTGAGGTGAAATGGTTTGTATTTAATATAGTTTTCTCCTTACTTTCCTAGGGTCATATATTACCTTGTTTTGGAATAAAATTTTTAACACCCTTCATGTGAACCACACCCATTCAATACTTTCACTTAATATAATACTACCGTATTATTTGCTTTGAACTGGGGAAGCCGGTATGGAGATGAAGAGAAGTAGATACATTTAAAGCACGTGATGGAGAGAGAAAACACAGAACATGTTGATGCTTTAGAAATATCAGACGCAAGAAAGGAGTGATAAAAAATGCCTTAGAATTGTTGATTTTTATTTTTTCTGAAATGAGGAAGTGGATGGATAGGAGTGCCATTTATAGCCATGGAGAAAATACAAAGGAAAACATCGGAGTGGAGCGGGTGTTATTGTTAAGAACTCATTTTTCAGCATACTGATTTTGCGATGCCTATGAGCTACCTAACTGGTGTGATCAAATAGTGTAAATGTGCATGGAGTCCAGAGAAACAATTCTACACTCCACATATAAATGTGGGAGTCATCAGCTCACAGATAAACATTTAAAGGGCTTATATGGGATCAAGTACAGAGAGAATGTAGATAGCTGAAAGACCCAGACCAATCCTTGACACATTCCAACATTACGGATGAAGAAGAAAGACAGAAGGAGAGAGATCGTAGGGGGGGAAACAGGACAGTTCCATTTTCAGAAGCCAGAAAGGCATGTGTGCATGCCCCAAATGCCAAAAACAGAATAGAGAAGGAATTACAGTATGGCCCATCCCCTCGGGGTGGGGGGGAGAGAAGGATGTGCTTCTTTCTCTTTTTCTCTCTCTCTCTCTCTGTCCTCTCTCTCTTTCTTTCTCTGGTGAGGGCATATGCTCTGTAGCAAAGTTTGATAAAAAGAAATGAAGGAAGGGGACAATCCATTGCAGTGGGCAAGGTGAAGAACCTTGTCTCCACAGTAATTCTGTCTGTGCTTTGGAGTCATATCCAGGAACTCTTATAAGACCTTAGTTTTATTTTTTATTTTATCTATAATCAAAACATAAATGTTTAATTCAGCTTTTTTAAAGTCTGCTGCTTTATATTCTTTTCTGTGACTTCAATGATGAAACTTCATCTGGATTGATGAAGTACGATTCAAAGCCCCACTACCATTCTCTTTAACTACTACTATGAGGTATCTGGTATATGGAAATTTTTAGGTTTTTGTACAGATGGTTAGAAAAGCTTACCTGAGTTTTTTCACCTCCTTAATGAACTGGGCTAGAAGATTAGTCAGGTTCTTTCCAGCCTCTGATTTAAAATACTTAAGTAAAACTCCTACATTATTTGGAATTAATAAAAAAAAAAATTGATTCCCAGTTAGAGTACAAAAAAGAAACCCAGAACTATGTTTTTAAAATCTCTAGCTCCTTCTGTTGTGTTACAGTGTTTATTCTGCTGTTGATTCTCATTCTTCAGCTAGCTCTGCTTTATCTCAGTTTTCAGTCTGTTTTCCTTTCATCTTTCTCTTTAAATGTTGATATTCCCTAGCCTTCCAATTATCCTGTTGTCCATTCACTTTCCACCATTCGGATAGTTTTAACTGCGTATGTACGCTAATAGCTCTCATTTTTTGTAAATCTCTCAACCTCACTTTTTCATGATATACCAAGGCCTATTTTTGTCTTCTAAATTTCCCAAACCCCACAGCCCCAGAGTCTCAGCAAACTGCTTATAGCAGCTCATTTTAGTGTATTTCTCTTCCCATAGTCCATAATCCCACTGGTAACTACACCAACCACAGATTTTTCTTTTTATTTCAATTGTTTATGCATTCCATCACATTATTTAGCTTGCAAAGTGAATATTTGAACATGTGTATATTTCTCACCAGTCTAGTTGACAATACTATAAAGTTATCTTCAACAGATAATAACCCATTTCTTTGTCCCATATATGCTTTGCCTCTCTATTTTTCTCCTTAATGTCCTTCGTCAGACTTTACTCCTTCACCCACCCTCTTCCTGCACTGTATCTGGTATTCGCAACCATTTACTATGTTTTTATAACCTTTAGTCATTCAGTTTCAGTCATAGACTGTGGACACTCAGTATATATTAAGTGGAAACATACAATGTCTCTCCTTGATAGCCTGGCTTGCTTCACTCGGCAGTAAATCTTACATATTCATTCACTTTCTGTCAAAAGCCAGGGTCTTGTTGTTTTTTATGGCTGAATAGTATTCCATAGAGTATGTGTGCCACAGGTTTTCAATCTATTCATCTGTTCATGGGCATTTGTGTTGTTTCCATGACTTAGCAATTGTCAATGGTGTTGCAATAAACATTGCTGTGCAAGCACTTTTCCAGTTAAGAATTCTTCTGTCCTTTGGTTAGATACCAAAGAGTGGGATTGCTGGATCATATGTTAGTTCTATTTGTAGATCTTTGAAGAATCTCCTAATTGTTTTCCACAGTGGCTGGACCAATTTACATTCCCACCAGCAGTGTAAGTTCTCCTTTTACAACACCCCTGACAGCACTTCTAATTTTTTGTTTTTTTAATCTTAGTCATTCTGACTGGGGTTAGGTGATACCTCATTGTAGTTTTACATCTCCCTTACAATGAGGGATGTTGAGCATTTTTCCATATACCTTTTGGCTATTTTTATGTCGTCCTTAGAGAGTGTTTTTTTTTTTTTTTTTCAACTCATTCTTCCATCTTTTAATAGAGTTGGTGGTCTTTTTTCAGGATAGCTACTTGAGTTCTTTGTGTATTCTGGCTATCAGTCCACAGTTCTTAACCAAGCTCAGAAAGTCAGTCATCACTAATTTCTCTCTCCCTTTCTTAACTTCTATCTTGTCCTTCTGTTTTGTCAGTTTTGTCACTAATGCATTCCTACCATTACCCCTATTATCCCTTGTATTATTGGTGATTATTACATCATGCCTGGGTTATTGTTATTACAGTATGGAGTAACTGATCTCCCTGATGCTTAACCCTCGATCCAGTCTCCATGGCAGTTAATGATACTGTATGTTGCTGGTCATATCAGTCTACTGTTATAACCACCCATGGCATATAAATTAAATCATTGCTACAAATGGTTAAAATTGGAGGAGTAAAATTATGACAAGTGAACTTGCTGGTCTGCATGGTGCAGTGAGCCAATTACGGAGTCAAGCATGTCTCTGCTAGTCACACAGGATCGACCTCATGGTAGCAAACAGAGGAATGGCGGGCAGGTGGCTCAGTGAGGACTGAACTCCTCCTCCAGCCTGATCTCCGCCAATGCTTAAGGATGGTATGGGGTGAGGAGCTGCTTTTGAGCAAAGTCTGCATTCTCCCTGTTCCCTACCGTGGTGGAGTCGTTACCTATGTCTTCGCTAGGGCAAAGTGCTTGTGGGATCCTCTGCCTTTCAAGATTATGGTATATATTCCCTGGTGAGAAGGACCATGTCCATCTTCACTGTTGTGTCCCCAATGGTGCCAACTCATCCCTATTCCCAACCTCCTTGTGAGAATCATGATCCAATTTGTAGTCTCTGGTCCTTTGGCTTGAGCCATCACCAATACGCTGAGTCATAAATATTTTCCTAGCTGAGACCTTTTTTTCCTGAGTTTCGTACCTCTTTTCCTGTTCTATGTATGGTAGACAACTGCATTCTGTATTCTAAAGTCCAACTTGATCTCCTTCCACCTGGAAACCAAACACAGCCTAGCATGGTGCCTTATCCAGCTTATTTGAGCATGTATTAAATTGCCCCAGCTATAGAAACATCCATTATCTCAGCCTTTCATATTCAGTATGCAATGTATCAAATCCTAGTTAATCTGCCTTGGAAGTTCTCATTTCTATGGCCTTCTCCCTTTCTTCTAGGGTTGCCTCTCCTACTTCTCCTCAAATACTTTTCATCAGCACTGACTTCCCTTTGTCACTTGCTTTAACAGTTTCAGTATATTGTTACTGTAAAGGAAAACATATGAAAACATTATTATAATAATACATTTTCATATTATTTATTCAATTAGTGCACACACACCCCCTCCAGCTCTTGAGCATGTTTTAAATTAAAGCTGTGACAAAATTGAATTTTAGGGAATACAGAGTTTTCAAATGAGATAGAATGTTTTATTAGTGAACTTGAGGGAGATGGTAAATAAAACAAACTAAAATTAAGTTCAAAATGCATTCTAGGGAACAGCAGTTAGCGTAATGGCTATGTCGCTGAACTCCCATGTAGTCGACTGCGGTTTGAGTCCCAGACCTGGTGGCTTAAACTCATGCTGGGCACGTGTGCACATATGCCCAAGATCCCAAGAGGAGAATGGAGGAGAAGGGATTACTGCGTGGCCATCCCCCCTGGAGAGTGATTTCTCTCTTTCTATCTCTCTGTCTCTCTCTGTCTTTCTGGCAAGCACAAACACCCTATAGCAAAAACCTCTTCTCAAAAAAGGAAAAGAAATCACTCCCTGTGTGTGTGTGTGTGTGTGGGGGGGGGGGGTGGGGGGTGCGAGGGGTTGCAATAGCCATGCCACAATCCTTTCTTCTCCCTACTCTCAGGATCTTTGGCACATATGCATATGCATCTGGCATGATTTTCAAGCTTCCAGGTCTGGAACTTGAACAGTGGAGTCGGCCATGTGAGAATGTGCCTTAACCTCCACACTACCAGCTGGCCCCAAAAGATGTATTTTTAATCATCAGTCTAGCTCTACCTCCTTCTCGTTAGACATTTGTTTCCTCTCTACCTCATTCCAAAATTGATTTTCAGAAAAATTAATGAAGGTAAGCTTTAGAATTGTCCTTTCCAAGTTCTGGCAGGGACCATGGCAACTATGTGTTTATTTTGTATTCATCAGTTGTCTTCCTGCCTCTCACTCCTGCCCCCAAAGCTGGGACAATTTGAGGGATTAAATAATTGAGACACCCAGGGTGCAGAACTTAAGCCTAGATTTTAAAAACTTCTGATTAAAAATCTATCTCCCCCACCCCCAGTTCCAAAATGACTTCCGTGACAGTGTTTGATTAGTAAGCCATTTTGCAAAGGCAAGGGCATAACCTCAAGTAGACATCTATCTAGTCGCTGATATTGGGCGAAATAACATTCCTGAGCCTTATTTTCTCCAGATAAGAGTGTCATAGGTGAGGCCAGCAGGTGGCATAGTAGTTATATCACTGGACTCTCACATGACCAACTTCGGTTCAAGTCCCAGACCCAATGGCTTAAAAATGATGGCAGAGGACCAGCGGATGGCATAATGCTTGTGTCACTGGACTCCCCACATAGCTGATTGCTGTTCCAGTCCTGGACCTGGTAGCTTGAAACTTATGCTGGGTGCATGTGCATGTGTGTCCAAAATCCCAAGAGGAGAGTAGAGATACTCACAGCATACTAGCTGTCTTCCCCATGTGGTTCTTCAATGTCCGTATTCTGCAGCCAGCCTGCAGTCTAGTCTGCTCACCTGGATGCTCTCACTTAATTAAAAAGTGTATATTTGTCAAACGACTTTCAGAAAATGATGAGGAGCAGGAGGCACTACCATCTTTGGATAAACCTGGCTGGTACTCCCAGGGGAATGCTGTCCAGCTTTATGACCTTCTGAAGAAAATGACTGGCAAACCTGAACCCAAGGTATTTTCTGATGGATGCAGAGTCCTTGATGACCACTTGCAGACTTGCATAGTTATAAACCAAAAACATAATTCTAAATTCCACTTGGTTATCTCTGGGGGAGTCATCTGCCTCGGCCCACCTACCAAATATCTCCTCTTCCCTCTTCTGATTATGTGAGCCTTTCCTTTGTAGATAGAGTCTGGGTTTTTATCTGTGAAAGAAAAACCACAGGAATTCCAAACAGGGAAGCACAGATCTGGGGAGTACACTGATGAGTGTGTCAGATGCCTGAGGAATGCTATCCTGATGATAATCTGTTTAAAGAGTTTTTATATGCACTAACTGAAATTACTCCACAGACCACCCTAAAACCGCTTGCTTTTGACATCTGATCTCCTTGCTGATGGCGGACATGGCTGCATGTTTAACAGCAGAATCCTTTCTCTAAAACAAATCGACAGGAGAGATCATCGGTTACCATCTCCTGATCCACTGGCTCCCATATTGCCACAATCCCTGGGAGTATTTAAGGGGTTTAGTGGAAGAAGCATCCTGACTTGGAGGTTGCAGTTCTTGTCCCTAAACTTCATTTTCTCCTCCTAAGTTGAGATCACTGGGGCTTTGCCTTAGAATACTTAGGGAGCTCCCTAGAGTCCACATGTCCAGCTCTGCTCTGAGAAGTCTGTTTGGGCAGATCTTGGGTGGGCCCAGAAATAAATTCTTTAAAAAGTGATTATGATGTGCATTCTTGATAATCTGTGACCCATTGGAACAAGTTTGTCTCTAACATCCAGCTCTTAAATTCTAGAGGCAGGTTTAATGGTCAGTACATACACACATACATACATAGCATATACACATATTCAGGTGTGTATAAATATATATAATAAACACATACGATATATATGTATGTATACACATACACACACACACACACACGAGCCCACTACTTCTAGAAAAAAATTAAATAAAATCATTTATTTAATCTCCTGCCTTTCTTCTACCTGCAATTACATTATGTGATTGTTAACACAGACCTGGCACTGTGAGAATAAAATAGAACAAGCTGATACTCACCTGTGGAGTCAGTCAAGGAACTTCACAGTGTTTATATACTTATTGGTTATATTCTGATGCGTGTTGAGGAATTTTCTTCTGCCTTCCATGAAATGAATGCCGCTCTCTTTCACAGTTTCATGTCTCAAACAGAATTTGCCATCTGACTTACAGGTTGTTTACTTTGGAGACAGCATGCATTCCGACATTTTCCCAGTTCATCAGTACCGTAACTGGGAGACAGTCCTCATCCTAGAGGAGCTGAGAGGAGACGAAACCGGGCAGTCTGAGGAGTCAGAGCCTCTAGAGAAGAAAGGAAAATATGAGGTAAGGAATCTTGTCAGCACCTCCCTTAGAAGAAAAACCTTTATGTTTGAAAGCTAATATATTCTTATACTTCCTGAATTCAAAATGATCCTGGTCAGACTGAATGTCCTCATGTTTCTAGTTTTTGAGGGAATATTTTCTGTATTAATGGGGTATCCTTAGCATCCTTACTCTGGCCACCTTAGTTGCTTTATCTGCTTTATAGAAAATTGTCTATCTTGCTTGTATTTAAAGGTAGAAGAAATAGTTATTTTTTTTTGTCTTTTTGTTTTGTTTTGTTTTGTTTTTAACAAATTACCTTTTGGCACAAACCTAGAACCACAACTTAGAAAATTCAGCCTGCTTTGTGTAAGTTCAGGTCTGTTCTACATAGCACACTTACATTGTGAAGCTCAGTACAACATATCAAAAACAGATGGTCAGGAGGCCAGCAGGTGGCGTAGTGGTTAAGGCACTGAACTCCCACATGGCTGATTGAGGTTTGAGTGCCCAGCTCAGTGGCTTGAAAATCACACCTGGCATGTGTACATGTGTGCTCAAAATCTGGAGAGGAGAATGGAGGAGAAGAGATTGTGGCATAGCCATTCCCCTGGAGGGGGTGGTGGTTTGTCACTTTCTCTTGCTCTCTCTGGTGAACATGCATGCCTTCCTATAGCAAAAATCTCTAAAAACAAACAAAACAAAACAAAAACAGATGGTGGCTGCTGCACCTCATGAGAATTCAGATTCTTTCCTGCTTCCCTGTGGAGGGTACAAGAATACAAACATCTTCAACTGCTACAGAAGGAAGGAAACAGTCCATAAAGAGACCTGAAAAGAAAGTACAATAGGAAGGTTCTTTTATTTTGTGATTGTTCAGAAAAATGTACTCTCGTTTTTTCCAACCAAGTATCAAGCACAAAACATACAGGAGGTCCAGTCTTTCAGTAAGTACAAAGTCTGAATGTAAAAGGATTCAATTCTTTATTTTTAGTTGCCTTATTCACCCTAAGTAAACTTTCAAAATTACAATTAAAAAGTAAATTCATTAGATCATTTGAAAGGCTGATGTTGTGAACCAAAACATTTACATTTACGTTCTGTAGAGAATGAATGTCTTGATTTACTTAGGTTCAAATTCAATTTCTCAGCTATTTACAATAATTTCTGTTCTAGATAAAACCATCTAAAATTGGGGGATCGTCTTTACCTTCTTTCATTGTGACAGGAAGCTTCAGATAAGGACAAAGTACCTCTCAAGTGGAATTTTGAAGGCTTATACACTTTTTCTAAATCTTAATATATATATTATATATCAGTTGATTATCCATTCCATTATACAATAGCATGATGATATATAACCAAAATGATACATTGTAATGATGAAAGTAAGACTAGTTAAGGGAAACTAAGGAATAACCTGTTTTAGTTTTTCTTTCTAGAAATAAAAGTTTGTTCATTATACTTAAAATTACTTTGAAAATTTTTATTCCATATGACTGACCTCCTATATGAAAGGGAAAAGAGTGCTTCTTTTCAGTTTCTTTATTATTGTTTTCATCTGTTTCTTCAATTTTTAATTGCATACTTTTTAGAATAACATGTCATGAAATTTAGTGCAGAAATCATTTATTTTGATTATAAAAATGACCCCCCTCCTTTTTTTTTTTAAAGGTTTTTGTCATAGGGTACATACACTTGCCAGAAAGAGACAGTGACAGGGAAAGTGAGAAATTGCCCTCCAGAGGAGTGGCCATGCTGCAATCCCTTCTCCATTCTTCTCTTGGGAGTTGGGGTACACATGCACACATGCCCAGCATGATTTTCAAGTTGCCAGGTCTGGGACTTGAACTGCAGTCAGCCATGTGGTAGTATAACGCCTTAACCACTACAGCAATTGCTGACCCTGAAAATAATTCTTAGCAAACAAGAAAAAGAGTACATACACTTGCCAGAAAGAGACAGTGACAGGGAAAGTGAGAAATTGCCCTCCAGAGGAGTGGCCATGCTGCAATCCCTTCTCCATTCTTCTCTTGGGAGTTGGGGTACACATGCACACATGCCCAGCATGATTTTCAAGTTGCCAGGTCTGGGACTTGAACTGCAGTCAGCCATGTGGTAGTATAACGCCTTAACCACTACAGCAATTGCTGACCCTGAAAATAATTCTTAGCAAACAAGAAAAAGAAGGAACTGACCTATAATTAGAAAAAGGCTATCCCCTCCAAAACTCAGTGAGACTACAATCCCTAATGGAGAAATTTAAGGGGCAGAAGCACACTTAATAGAGACGCAGGCCTTCTAAAGTTCTGAGCTAGACAAGGGTACCTGCTATAGTTAAACTGCATAACAGAGAGCTGGCCTACACCACAAGATAAAGAAATGTAGAATAAGATTGAAAGATAAGGCACCAAATTGTCATTATTTCAAGCTTATTTAATCATCATAGAAGACATTAGGGAATTGGCAAACTATCAGAACTAGTAAGAGTTCAGTCAGAGTGCTGCATCCAAAACAGCATTCAAAAAACAATAGCTGCTGGGACCAGCAGTTAGTGCAATGGCTATGTCACTGGACTCCCATGTAGTCAACTGCGGTTCGAGTTCCAGACCTGGCAGCTTAAACTCACGCTGGGCGTGTGTGCATGCGTGCCCAAGATCCCGAGAGGAGACTGAAGAAGAAGTGATAGATTGTGGCGTGACCATCCCCCCCCCTGGGGGGGGTGATTTCTCGCTTCCTGTCTCTCTGCCTTTCTGGCGAGCACACATGCCCTATAGCAAAAGTCTCTCCAATAAAAAAGCAATAGCTTGGGGACCAGCAGGTGGCATTGTGGTTAAGGTGCTGGACACTCCCCCGTGGCTGACCACGGTTCGAGTCCCGGACCTGGTGACTTCCTTTCTCCCTTTCCCTCTCTCTCACTCTCTCTCTCTCTCTCTCTCTCTCTGTGTGTGTGTGTGTGTGTGTGTGGTCAAATTAAAATAAATGAATGAATAAATAAAATTAAATAAATAATAATTTTTAAAAAAGCAATAGCTGATCTTTTTATCAGCAGTAACCAAATGTAAGGAGAAGTAAATCATTTATAAAAGCAATAAAAATGAATCATTGTCTAGGAATTAACCTTAAAAATACATGAGACCTTGATATGGTAGATTTTAAACCTCTATTAAAGATCCTGAATACAAACCAGGATAAATGGAGAGATGTCCCATACTTCTGAATGCATGATATAAATTATATAGATACCTGCCCACCTGCAGAAGTGCACTGTTTGATGCTGCTACTCAGCAGGCTGAGGCCACGTGGTAGAACCAGGTTCTATTCTAGCCTACCCTAATAGCTGGGCATGGTGGTACATGTAGTCCTAGCTACTCAGGAGGCTACAGCAGATGGATCACAGCATTGCAAGACTCAGTCTTAACAACAACAAAAGATTATATGGGGTCAGCAGGTGGCATGGGGTTAAAGTGCTGGACTCCCACATGGCTGACTATGGTTTGAGTCCTGGACTTGGCCTCACTCTTTCATGAGCACATATGCTCTATGGCACATTAAAATAATAGTAATAAACATAATAATGATATATTAATTAAATTAATCTTTAAATTTTTTCAAAGAAAAAAATTATATGGATAGCTATTTCCTTCAAATTTATTTACAAAGTCAATGTAATAGTTCCTAAATCTTAAGAGGATTTTGGGTAGACCTTGATAAGTTGATTCTGCAGTTAGACAAATAACTAAGAAAACTTTATGAAAAAAGATAATGAGAGAAAATTTCACTTTATTAGATACTAACCACATTAGAAAGCTCTAGTAACTTTTTAATTTAGTACTGGTGACAAAATACATAAAGGTCTCTGAATAGAGTGAAAAATCTAGCCACAAGCCTCTGTATTAAAATCCAAGTTACTTTGTAGATACTGTATATGAGATATTGTTTTAATCAGTAGGGAAGGATAGACAGTTCAGTAAATGGCACTAAGATAAGCTCCTTTCATACCCTACATATAAAAAAATCTGAATAGGTTGTAGAACTGAAAGTAAAATCTCTATCTGTAAAATTTGTGGAAGATAATTTATGAAAGCATTTTTATACCTCAGAATGGGAAAGTATTTCAAGTTAGAACCTGAAAAACAACAGTAAGAAATTTGGTAACTTTGACAACATCAATATTGAATTTTTCTGTTCAAAATACCAGGGATACTGTTAACCAATGATTGAAAGACAGGTATGGTTCAGCCTTAAAAAAAAAAAAAAAAAAAAAAAAAAAAAAAAAACAAAAAAGATCCAAGTTACTTTGTAGATACTGTATATGAGATATTGTTTTAATCAGTAGGGAAGGATAGACAGTTCAGTAAATGGCACTAAGATAAGCTCCTTTCATACCCTACATATAAAAAAATCTGAATAGGTTGTAGAACTGAAAGTAAAATCTCTATCTGTAAAATTTGTGGAAGATAATTTATGAAAGCATTTTTATACCTCAGAATGGGAAAGTATTTCAAGTTAGAACCTGAAAAACAACAGTAAGAAATTTGGTAACTTTGACAACATCAATATTGAATTTTTCTGTTCAAAATACCAGGGATACTGTTAACCAATGATTGAAAGACAGGTATGGTTCAGCCTTAAAAAAAAAAAAAAAAAAAAAAAAAAAAAAAAAACCTAATAGATTGATATCTAGCTTGTAAGTTGAATCTTATTTAGAAAATTGGACAAAGAACCTCTCGCATTTGACTAAAAGGGAAAGCTTACATATTATGCCTCACTAAGAATCCATAAAGTGCAAATTAAGCAAAGAGAATCAAGGGGGAAATGAAAGAAGCAAAACATTTAAGGGACACAAAAATGGAAAATTATCTGTTGATGATAACATGTATGATAATACCCATAACTGAACTAATGTACAGTTTATTTATGCTGGGAAAATTCAGTTTACAAGCTGTGATGATATGCAATGGTTGAATGTATTAAAAATCTATTAAATTAAAAACAAACAAAAACAACAGGTTAAGTTAATGGGTTTAACACCTTAAACCCATCAGATTGACAAAACTGAATCTGGATTTTTAAACTAATTTACAAGTAAGATAGTTTAAGATATGGTTCTTTTTTTTTTTTTTTTTTTTTTTTTTTAAGTTTTTTTGCCAGGGCACATGTGCTCACCTCAGAGAGACAGAAAAAGAGAAAGTAAGAAATCAGTCCCCGGGAGGGTTGGCCACACTGCAATCAATACCTTCTCCTCCATTCTTCTCCTGGGAGCTTAGGCATACACATACATGCCTCACATGGTTTTCAAGCTGCCAGATCTAGGACTTGAACCATTATTGGCCATGTGGGAGTCCAGCACCTTAACCACCACACCACCTGCTGGCCAAGTCTGAGGTATATTTCTGTGAGTTAATAGGAAAACAAAGTGGGGCCAATGTAGTTCACTAAACTTCACTCTATTGCATTTAACAACTGTGTTGTAAGAGAAATAATTTTTAATCTCTATTTTAATGAGCATCTATTTGGATTTTCAGTCAGAAACAAATACCACTTTATTTAGAATATACCTAGAATATAACCACTGCCCTTTCATAATCTCCTAAGTGAAGAGTGTATATATATATATACACACACACACATATGTATACATATACACATATATATGCATATATACATATATACATGTGTGTAAAAAAAAATATATATATATATATATACACACACACACATAAATATACACATATATATGACAAGGACTGTAAGTTAGCCTTAGAAGAAGTGACATCTTTGTATCTATCTTGGTAGTCCCAGTAGATAACTAAATAATGAAAGATTCTTTAAAGAAATAAAAACCATTAATTTGAAATCTCTTATCAGTTTATTGCCTTTATACTCCAGGTATATTAAAAGTAATAAATAATAATTATGTCCTTACTGCCTTTAAAAAATGAAATAAAACTACATCAAAATAATTTTAACTATTTAAGCATAACAATAATAAAATTAGAGAATTCTTTTCATGCAAGGTCTTTCTGTATCACCATCCTTCTGCTTCAGCCTCCTGAGTAGCTGGGAGCACAGGTGTACACCATCATGTCCAGCCCTTGTAGACCGGGTCTTGCTATGTTGTTCAGGCCAGCTTCTAGCTCACACTCCTCCTGCCTTAGCCTCCAGAGGTGCTGGCATAGCAGGTGGGCACCATTGCACCTAGACTTTAGGCTGCACTGGGAATCGAGCCTAGGTTTCCCACGTAATCCCAGCCTGTGAAGCACAGCATCTTAGTACACGCCTCCATAGTTGGGCCCAAGAGTTATTTTAATTGTAGGAAAAAATTATCTTCCCAAATTGTTTTGTTTAGGGTGCTTTTCACATTATCACCAAAGGCCATTTAGAAAGCTATTTTCAGTTTTAAGATAAAGGATACTTCATAACAAGGAAATATTATCTATTTTCCAAAAGTGTAATGTGAACACAACACCTATGTATAGACTTTTCTATTATGATTTAATCCATGGACAAAAACCTTATGAGATTAAACAGAAATTAATCACAGTTTTCATTATTCTCTTTTTTTGTTTCAGGGACCAAAGGCAAAGCCTCTAAATACCTTGTCTAAAAAATGGGGCTCTTTTTTTATTGATTCTATTTCGGGACAGAAAAATACAGACTCCTCTTTGGTTTATACGTGGTCCTGTAAGAGAGTCAGTACTTACAGCACTATTGCAATTCCAAGTCTTGAAGCAATCACAGGTAAGGGGGAAACTACCTTTAATGCTTTACCTGTTACTGGACAGTAGTGACCTTAAGTACTAGAATTCTTGTCTTTCTTTCTTTTTTTTTTTTTTTTTTTTTTTAAGAGATGTTTGCTATAGGGCACGTGTGCTTGCTGGAGAAACAGAAAAACAGAAAGATACAGAAAGTAAGAAATCATCCCCAAAGGGGATGGCCATACTGCAATCTCTTCTCCTCCATTCTCCGGATTTGGGGTATAAACACACATGCATCCAGCATGAGTTTTAAGCGACCGGATCCAGGACTCTATCCACAGTCAACTATGTGGGAATCCAGCAATGTAGCCATTACACCACCTGCTGGTCCCATAGAATTCTTGTCTTTAAAGGAGGGAACTCTTCCTGCAACTTTATTTGATTTTTCTTTATTATTTTCTCTTTTTTTTTAAAAGAGGGTGTAGGTTAGAGTGAGAGAGACACAGGTACGTTTTTCAAAAGTTTTTGCCATGCCATGTGAAACCACCCTGGCATGTTTAGTGAAAACTGAATCTGGGTATCCTATGAGGCTTTCAGTCTCCCAAATGGCGGAGCTACCTGTGTGTATGTGTCTGTGTTTGTATATGTTTGTATGTGTGTGCACATTTTCTATGTATTTATGTGTATATATGAGTGAATCTGTGTGTACAAGTGTGTATTTGTGTGTGTATGTGTTTGTATGTGTCATTAGGGTCAAATTTTATTTTTCTGAGGAACTGTCTCTAAATATGGTAATGTAGGTCATTAGGGCCAGTCATTCTGCTTGAGCCAACTACATTTTGGTTCATATCATTCAACTCTTCCCAAATTCAGATAATATGGTTGACATTATTGTGTATTTAGTACACAGAGTTTAACAAAACATTGTGGTAAGCAAGAATTGCTTTTTCTTTTCTTTTCTCTCAAATTATCAGCACCCAGCAATAATTTTCCTAGAATAGAGATGTGTTTCCTGTTGCTGATTCCCCAGTCTCATACTCACTCTGGGGATTCCTGGGTTTTTTGTTTGTTTAAGAGGGATTTTTGCTATAGGATCGGTGTGCTTGCTAGAGAGACAGAAAGCAAGAAATCACACCCCAGGGAAGATGGCCACGCCACAATCCCCTCTCCTCCATTCTCTTCTCAGGATCTTGGGCACGCATCCACACGTGCCCAGTATGAGTTGTAAGATGCCAGGTCCAGGATTCCAACTGTGGTCAACTACGCTGGAGCCCAGCAATGTAACCATTACGCCATCTACTGGTCCTGGGGTTCCTGTTTTAACAAAACAGTCATTTGATTTCAGTTTGACATTCCCATTGCCAGATATATTTATTTATTTATTAGTGAGTCTTTTTGTTATAGGGCACATGAACTCAACAGAAAGTCAGAAAGTGAGAAATCACCCCCAACAGGAGATGGTCATGCTCCAAACCCTTCTATTCCATTCTCCTCTCAGGATTTTGGGCGCACACACACACCCCATGTGAGTTTTAAGCCACTGGATCCAGGACTTGAACTGCAATCAACTACATGGGAGTCCAGTGATGTAACCATTACACCATCTACTGGTCCCAATACCCAGATTTCTTAACAATAATAGACCTTTTCTGTTTCCTGGAAGAGAAAATAAATTTTTTGATGGAAATGGGTAAAAAACAAACCTGATATTCCCCTTTGACCTCTTAAAGCTTTTGTGTATTTTTGTAATGTTTCTTTATTCTTGGATACCCTTTTATACTTGGTTATCTCATTCACATTTAAATGCCTATAAGCCATTTTTAGTATATATATAGAAGTTTGTGATTATTAGCTATCTATGTTACAGTGGTGATTGATTTGTCTTAGTCTGTTCATGCACTAACAGAAATACCCTAAGGCTGGGTGATTTATGAAGAATATAGAGGTTTATTTACTAAGCTCACAATTCTGATGGCTAGAAAATCCAAAGGCATCACAAAATGGTAGATGGCAGAACTTTTATCAGAACAAAGCATGGTTTGTATCCAGGAGGGCTTCTGCCTGGCTCATTTCTTCTTATGTACAACCAGAACTCAATCGGGGGGGGCGCTCCCTAAAAACGTTTTCACACCCAAAGGTCCCACCCTGGGACACCATGAAGGAATTAAAGTTTCACTCAACATTTTTACTTTTTACAATACAATGAAGCCCCAACATGTGGATTTGGGGGAGATATCCAAGTTCAAAAACATGAACCTTTAGGGAAAAAACATTATCCAAGCCAGAATACTTTGTAATCATAAGGTAATCATTTTTAGTCTTATAGCTGCCCTGAGAGCTGAACATTTAGTTTAGGAAATGTATAGGAAAGAAGTGGTTGGGGCCAGCAGGTAGCATAGTAGTTAAGGTTCTGGACTCCCACATGGCTGACTAGTTCAAATCCCAGACCCGGGGGGCTTGAAACTCAGGCTAGGCACATAAGCGCGCATGCCCCAAATCCCAGGAGGAGAACGGAGAAGAAGGGATTGCGGCATGGCCATCCCCCCGAGGGATGATTTCTCACGTTCCCCCTCATCATCTCTGTCTGTTTCTCTCCAGCAAGCACAGGTGTCCTATGGCAAAATCCTTTAAAACAAAAAAAAAAAAAAAAAAGAAAAAAGAAGTGGTTGGCTCAACTTTTGACCTGTATCATTTTGATGATTTATCAGAGATTCAGTATTCAGATATATAATATTAGAAACTCAGTTTTATTCACCTGCTTTCCAGTGCCTTTTTAAATACATGACCAAAATATACTAATTACCTAAGTAGAGAGGACCTATGAAATGAACTGATGCTGAATGTTTTTCTGTGTGGAGTAATCCTAGGCATAAGAAAAGCAGTGTTCCTCCTTTCCACTCCCTAGCATTAGTTTTCTTGGGATTAACTGATATACTTCTAATATTTCTGATTTTTTTTTTTCATGGAGAAATATGGGGGAAAGGGGAATATCTAAAGGCTGAATTTAGAGAGATCTATATGAGGGTGGATGTCTCAGCCTCCCATCATCAAAAATATAGGCATTATATGTTCTGTCTCCTATGCCCCTTGAGACCATCAACCATCTGTGTGTGTGTGTGTAATGCTTACCATATAGAAAAAGTTGCCATCTTATGCATATTAAAGCTTTTATTAAGCATTCAAAGATTCTTCTTAGTAACCATCTTATTACCCCCATGGTACCATTAAGATTATTGATTCTCAGGACCAGCAGATGGCGTAGCAGTTACATCACTGGATTCCCACATGGCTGACCGTGGTTCAAATCCCGGATCCAGTAGCTTAAAATTCACACTGGACACGTGTGTGTGTGTGTGTGTGTGTATGTGCTCAAGATCCCAGGCTTAGAATAGAGGAGAAAGGATTCTAGTGTGGCCATCTCCTTTCTAGGGGGTGGGGGAGGGTGATTTATCACTTTCCCTCTCACTGTGCCCCTCTTTCTCTCCCTCTGGTTGCGTGTGCACCCTAAGGCAAAAACCTCTTTAAAAAAAGAGAGAGAGAGAGAGAGAGAGAGATTATTGGTTTTCATTCACCGAGTTACATAATCCCCCTCAGTAGGGTCTGGGAAACTGGGAGTGGGGGGAGAGTCAGACAAGCATTCTTATGTTTAGTGAACTTTTGTGTGGAGTATTTTTGTTTTTTTTTTCTTCAAGACTTTTTGCTATAGGACACATGTACTCGCAGGCGAGACAGAAAGTGAAAAATCACCCCCTGGGGGGATGGTCACAACACAGTCCCTTCTCCTCCATTCTCCTCTTGGGATCTTGGGCACCACACCATGCACCTGGCTGAATTTTAAGCCTCCAGGTGCCAGACTTGAACTGCAGTTGACTACATGGGAGTCCAGTGACAACTGTTGTGCCATCTGCTGATCCCATGTGCAGAGTTTAAAATTAAACTCACTAGTTGGGGCTCTGGGGATGACTGGATATATCTAAATATGACTCGGCTTAAATATTATTGTAAATTGTACAGTAAAAGACATTTGCACTCTTTATCCAGGGTGGCACCTACTCAGGTGGCAAAAGAAATATTGAAATTATGAAATTCTAAAAAACAAGTTTTATTACAGTGAGTATTAAATTTTGATTTGTATTTATGAAAAGCGTTTAGAGATTAAAAATAATCCATTTTTGTTTTCCCCAGAATTACCCCTGGACTACAAATTTACAAGATTTTCTTCAAATAATTTAAAAACAGGTGGCTACTATCCAAATCCTCCATTAGTCTTATCAAATGATGAGACACTGACAACCAAATAAATTATCTTTACTGAGAAATGAAGAACCATATATGCAACGAATGTACTTTAAAAGAAAAAAGTTAATTTCCCCCCCCAAAAAAAACTGTAAAATGCTGTATGAGTTTTTTAATGAAACTTCACCAAGAAATTGATATTGATCTATCGTCTCCTTTCTGTATAAATCATCTTGATGTTTAACAGCTCTCATTATATTAAAAAAATCAATATTTTAGAACTGGAAATAACTTTATTGATATTTTTCCATACAAATAGTTTCAAGACTAAAATTCACCTGGGGGGACACACACACACACACACAAACACGCATACACATATATCTACACATGCCTACTCCAATGGATCTCTAAATGTGGTCCCCAGTGAAATAGTGTAATACCACCTAAGAACTTGGATAATACAAATTTACGTCCCCACCAAAATCTACCAAATCAGAAACTCTGGAAGTGGAGCACAGCAATCTGTATTTGAACAAGCTCTCTAGGTGATTCTGATTTACACTAGAGTTTGAAAATCACCGACTAGACCATGTCCTCTAGAGACTGGTTTAAGTGGTCCGAGTGGATATACTGGGTTGTTGGAAAAGTCATGATGCATTTTTGCATAGAAAAAAATACGTAATGACGTTTTCGACAAACCAATAGCTGAGCATTGACATCTTTGCATACCCCAAGGAAGTACAGCCAGAATTGAGAACCACTGATCTGTGCCAGTTCCTTCAATTTATAGCCCAAAACACCACGTCCAGTAAGATTATTTCCCAAACTATTAAGTTTTAAGCTATTTCTGTGTTTTCCAAAACAAGGAAAATAGAGACATGCTTTCTGAGATTATAAAGCCAGTATGGTACAAAGATAGTACTAGAAGTCAGTTGTCTTAATCTCCAATTGTGTTCATCAATTTAATGTTAAAGGCTATTTCATTTTTACTAATGTTAAAAGATAACTTCTCAGTGGACACAAAAGAATGTTTTTTATAATGAAAAAAAGAAAAAGAAAAAACCTTAAATGTGCAGCCTTCCAAAGCTCAATCCTACCCAATAAAATTTTATTCTTCAGTAGTCATTTCTCTCATTAGGGGAAGATTTAATTTAAAGTTATTAAAATTAATTTGAGTTAAATTTTTCTCCTTGGGAAAGAGGGTGATAATGAAGAAAAAGACAAGCCACAAGGGTTCTTACATGTATTTCAATTTCCATGCAGGATTATTGTGTTCTATGTGTAATATACAATCATATTAGCAGCTCTTTGTTGCAAACTGTTTGGTGACAGGTAGTCTTACAATATAATTTCCTGACCACTCTGTATGCTGTAATTTCACTCTATCCATCATAGACAACATTATTTTACTTGGATTATAGCTAAGAATTTAATGTATTGATGCATGCAGTGAACAGGTAAGTATTTTCTTCAAATTTGTAAACATTCAGCTAGATCCCAAATACACTGTGGAGATGAGTATCTCAGTGTAGATAAAAGGTTACTATTTTTTTTTTTCCTTCAAAGTAGGTAACTTTGACATCCTTCGGTGAGATACCAATGAGTTGATATACTTGAAACTGATATCCAGAGTGCCTTTGAAATATTATGAGCATACAAAATCAAGCAAGAGTGAAATTAAAATGTTATTTCATGTATTCTTTATAGACATTTGATTTCTTTTTTAAAATAAAGCTATTTTTCCTTATGTAGGTTTATTCTGTAAATGGCAAAGGATGTATCTTTTAAATGCTTATAAACTGCTGTAATATGAAAAATAAGAATCCTAAAATAAATTAATTGTACTTTTTGACCATTGAGGAGTAGAGAAAAAACATCATACAAGTCGTAAGTTCTAATCTTACTTTGCTGGTTCCTACTCGAGACTCTGAACAAGTAGGTAGCACCTTATTTGACCTCAGTCTTTAAATCAAAACAGAGAGAAGGTTAGTGTTTATTTTTAAGTTTCCTTCCATCTTTCTAACATGATCAACTAGTCAGTGCTTCTTCTAATGAATGTTGGTTTTCTTATTTATTTTTCCCATGAGCAGGAGGGACCAAGACAGAACTATAGCCCCGCAACAGTATCAGCACCATGACTCACCCCAACCTCAGCCCCCCTGGATTGTAGGCACCCACAGCTCAGCATAACTGAGGAAGGTCTCCAGATGTAGGAACCAGCAACCTTCCCATATGAGTATGGCTCACAAAACAAGAATGTTGTTTTTCTGTGAGCCTATAATTATGCTTTTTAAATTTTTATTTCATTTCTAAAAAGTGCCAGAGTTTCTAATTGGATATGAAAAGTTAAAATTATCTAAAAGTGGAACCATAAAACTAAAAAGAATATTTAGAAAGCTATATATTCATTAGTAATGAGTAAGAAGGAAAAAGTTATGTATATGGGCATAAGATCTGAGTTTTATACTAGCACAGGCAAACCTTCATATAAAAGATACCTAGAAATAGATGCAAAGGAGCTGAGCTTTTCATCACTGACTACTGTTGATCTCATCAGCAGAAGAAAGAGCTAAAGGGCAAAGTGGTCCAATGTTTTTTCAGAATTTAGTATTTGGAATACTGAAAGAGCAGAAACTTTTTCAACTGAGTCATGAATTGCAACCTTGACTCCGAGTTTCTTAAAATCTAAATTGAAATCAAGTATTTTTCCAGCATTCACATCCAACAGAAACTTAATACACACACACACACACACACACACACACACACACACACACACACACACACACACACACACACACACGCACAGTTTTTTATTTATTTTTACATTTTCATATACACTTTCAGTGAACTCAAGTGAAAAATCTATACTTTCTGTATAATTAACATGAAATAGACATCCAGTTACTCCTCTGATATAATGATGACTGCATATCAGAATCACATGGATGCTTTCTTAAATGTGTGATGTTGCTGCACCATCCCTTACCTCTTCCCAGGCTCTTAAACACAAAGTTACTGACTACTTTTATCAAAGTCATGCAGGTATGCCAGGTGACATCCACTATGGTCCAACTGCTACCCTTGAAAACCGTGAACATGGTCCAGGTCACATAAGATGAATTCAGAAAAGTATCTCGTTAGTCTGAACTATTCTCGGGGAGGAGGGGGGAGGAGGGTAAGGTAAAAGGGTAAGGTAAAGTTATAAGCAGTGACTCCTTAATAGGCTACTTCATATACGTTATCTTGTTTACCCTCTACAACAACCATAAAATGAGCGTAATTATTAAAATTGTACAAGTGAGAAAACTCAAATTCAGGGAGGTTAAATACTAAGTTTGTTCAAAGCTGCACTTTTACAAAGGGACGAGTTTGACCCTTACAGTCATGGTGTTAGTTGATTAACACATCCAGTCTTCTAGCACTGAATCTACATTGGATTAAATTCTATCAAAAAAAAAAAAAACCTTCAATTTAATCACTTGTAGTGGATTGGAAATCAAGACACAGGCTCTGTCCAGAAGTAGCTGATAACTCAGTATGATGTTAAGAAAAAATATCTATAACTTAAACACTTCTCTAGAAGAGTAAAATAGAGATCCAATAATTACAAGAGTCCTAAAATCCATGAGTCTGCTCTTCTTGGGAGGCATACATGCTGAGGTCATTAGTGAGCAGGCCTAATCTTTCTTCACATTCAGGTTCAAAGTTTACCTCAAATACTTGGAAGATGTCTTTGCTGGTGCTGATGTAACAAGAGTGGAGTTGTGATGAAAACTGCTCCTTTGAACTTAGGAGGAGATGGAATGTATGAGCCTATAGAGCAGTTGGATGATTGCTTCAAATGACCACTAGGACAGCATATACACTGCTTGACAATCACGTTTTTGTACCGTGTACCTGTACACATACCCTCTTTAAAAAAAAAAATCTTGGTACTTTGGTACTGTCTTGATAAATGTCAAACATTAATAAAGTTTAACAAAATTGAATAAAGAAAAAAAGGTATAATTACTATCTAAATGAATTCAGAACAATTATCAAATTAAATCGATTAAAAATATGCTTTCTCTAAATTGTAAAAATGTTAACAGTCCTTAGTAACTAAATCTTATATACTGTTTGAAGTCTTTTTGATGCATTTGCTGCCTTTGGTGAAGGGAACAGTTTCATTCATATGCAGCAAACATAACTAAGGAATTTTGATCTATAATAAGATGGAATCCAATCAAGTGAGAAAATCATTTCAAATATCATTCATGAATGGAATAACCTTCAACTGAATTCATAAATAAGTAAAGTTACTGTTAACATTTTAGTACCAAATGTACAAATGGAGGTGATAGTGAAAATTATGCTAGCTTGAAATTAGAAAATTTGGGGCCAGCAGTTGATGCAGCAGTTTAGGCGCTGGACTCCCAAGGTTAACCATGGTTCGAGTCCCAGACCTGGTGGCTTGCTCTCTCACTTTCCCTCCCTCTCTGGTCAAAAATTAATTAATTAATTAATTAATTTAATTAAACAAATTATTTTTTTTAATTGGGGACTGGCAGGTGGCATGGTGGTTAAGGGCACTGGACTCCCACATGGCCTACCATGGTTTGAATCCCAGACCCATGGCTTGCCTTCTCACTTTCTGTCTCCCTCTCTCTCTCTCTCTTACTCTCCCTCTGGTCAAATTCAAAGAAATAAATAAAGTTCAATAAAATCATTCTTTATTAAAAAAAAATAACAGCCTATGTAACTTGCACTTAGGCAATTTACTTCCGTATTTAAATGGAAACTAAAACTTGTGTCACAGGATTATTAAGGTAATATGAGAGTACTCATGGACATGCCTGACATATGTCAGATCTCTTGAAGAGATTATGAAGTCAGGAAATAGATAACTGAGGCAAAAATCAGATATCTAAGAAACAAATTGTGACTCCTTAGCACAAGGAACTCAATAATTATATAGTACAGAGGGCCAGTCCATGGCCTGGTGGTTAAGGTCACCAACTGGACCCCACATGGCATACTCTTGGGTTCTTGGACTGGACAGCTTGAGGAACAGGTCAGGTACATGTGCATGATAGCCCAAGACCCCAAAAGGAGGGAGACAGAGGAAAGGGGATTGCAATGTGACTATGCCCTCTGGGGGATGCTTTCTCACTTTCTCAAGTGTAGGTGCTCTCTGGCAA